AGAAGACATTGTTCAGAAAAAAGTCTTATGCTGGGATAATATTTAATGTCGAGTCTTATCATAACTACAGGCTAAAAATAGGAATAATGAGAATGAGGATAAAAATTATACGCTTACGGATATGAAATTCTGGGATGAAGAATTGGACAAATTGACTAGGATATTCCAGAGCAACGTCTTCTCAAGCAAAGTAGTAAATAAGGGCATTGAAGAGCCGATGACAGAATGGGGAATATGAAAGAACAATAACGACGGAGAATGATTCACAAAAGTGGATATGGCTAGCTTCCTACTAACGAACTCAAAAACTACGGCCAACACTACGAAATTGAATATTCGAAAAGGGAAAAAACACTTCGCAAGTTTACCGATGCAGCATGAAAAGCTGGATAAATTTGTTTATTCAGGAGTTTACTGCATAGCATGCGGCACCTACGAGCAGAATTATATTGGCGAAACAGGTAGAAATTAGTGTACGAGTGAAGCATCATCAAAGGCTCTGGGGACAATGGATACCGAAAGATAAGAATTAGCGGAAGACATCGCAGAGACTGGACACTATATCAGTTAGAAGGCAACTGGAAGAAGACCCTTATACGGTGCAAACACAAGGAAGAGGAAAACTAGGGAAGCCATTGACATACTTGGGGAAAAAATCTAATGAATAGGATATTGGAAGGCATAGTTAACAATAACTTTGACTAGTATCTAAGCAAACTCGGTGGAGGCAAGAATGCAAGACCACCAAAAAAGGAGACGTCTGGATTAAGGATCTATCACTAACCAGAGGGAAAGGGATCACGATGAGAAAGGAGGATGGAGTAATACCGGAAATCAAGCGAATGTTCCAAGTGGGTGAAGCTTTTTCTTCACTTCCAAAATGTTCTAGAAACCTACTTGAGATGCCGCAGGCGACCAAGACCAGGGATATGCGTTCACAGTTTGCTCAGGTGACGCAGGTTTAATCAAGACGACCCATGAAGACAATGCCTAATATATGCAGACATGGGAATCAAAGCCCACGCGTTCTGCTCGGTGAGTTGGCTGTGTAAGGCCTTGAGAAATAGCGCCTGGAGTTAAACACATACTAGGAATGGAACCGTGTGTAATCGGTCAACCAAAAAGATAAGAAACCGATCTATAGGACCATGAAGGAGATACGAATAGAAGGCCCAATTCGGATTAGCTGATCGGGAGGGGTCAAAAGTGAATAGTGTCATGAGACCACACTAAACCTGAAAAAAGACGTCTTTTAAAGAATTGAATGTAAACAAGTCAGAAGTTGTGATAGAGGAGTTGGATAAGGTAAAGAATAGATAGATAGTCAGGACAGAAAGAGTAGTGATACCGTAATTGCTTCTGCAGAACGTTTAACGAGGTACTGACCTCCCGGGTATCTGACATGCTTGTAGCTTGATGTGGAGAACGGTAAGACTCGCTGATGATAGTAATTATGATGCCAGCGAAATATCTGAGAATTTTCCAAGTCCACGTCTTTATACTGGGAACTATAACTATGACAGTTTACTTTGAACAAATTGCATTCTGTTCAGTCGCCTTGATACAAGTCCAAGTTGCGAAAATGAGGCCCTCCCACTTCTATAAATCGAGAGGATACTGTGACCATGCCGAGGGCCACACTTTTTTATTCTTCATATCTTTGAAAAAAAATTAGTTCTAAAACTACCAGAGTTGATTGGTATCACGGCTTACCAGACTGAATTGGTTATGTTAAGTAATTAGCGAGTATGATAATAAGGAAATGGCGTTATTTCTTTACTTCGCCAAGCATCCCTCAATCCTAGTTTGTCTAACGCAATCCCAAGTTTGAATGATTCCAAGTGGCCTAGTTTTAGAGTCTCTTAACCATCACGCCAGCAGCCAAAATCTCGTTAGACATGTTTATTACGTCTATTTAACTCGAAACCACCACCCACTCAAGATGAAGACGGCCCATGGAATGCATAGGTAAATAAGATCTAATGCAAAAACAAAGTATCAGGTCAAATCAATATTTGGCAGACTCCCCATCAATGCAACAAGAAATCGACCAATACGAGCATGCTTCATCTAGTAGCAAGATATTCATGAAATATGCACAATAATTATATCTCTCTATCTCACTATTATTCGTTAAGGAGAAAGCTAGGATAATATCAGAAGCCTTCAAAAGTTTAGAGGAAAATAACAGATACCTGAATAAAAAGTCGTTTTTTTCCATTAACTATCGCCCAAAGAATCTGATTCAAATAGTGTATCGTGTAAGTAGATTCAAGCATCCCAGCCAATATTGAATATGCAGCCCATTAAGTCTTACTAGTAAAACACCGAGAAACAGGATCTACCAAACCAAAAAGAAGAGAAAAGGCAAAATAAACCCTTTAAATGGGTTTACTCGAACATGGCCACATGGATATAATTAAAGCCCCTTACTCTTTAAAGAGAAAAAGAGTAGCAAGCTACAGCCGGTAAAGTGGGATAAAAAAAATAGGGTAAAATGTGAGATGCGTGATAAATAATGAGAATAATTGACCACTGTGATGACTCCTGTGGAATGGTGGGGAGACGGTTTTGAATGCTATATACGATGAACTATACATAACAGGAAAGAATAAGCCCAATGCAAAGCGACGAATAAAGCTTATATGAGAACCAGTGAAAAGAGTGAAGAAAAAAAATAAAGAACCGCTAAAAAGGGGCTTGGGATTGGAGAAAAAAGGCCATAAAAATTATTTATCTGGAGAGATGAGGCTAGGCTGGAATGCTGGGGTCTGAATACAAGAGGAAAGGGTAAGATGCTCGATGAAATAATAATTAAATGATTGTTTCAATAACAACTTTTGATTGACCTATACTCCTATTCCTCCCCCTCCCCCAGCTGCAGCTGCGGCAGCAGCTGCTGCCAAGATCATGGCCTGTTTTTCGTCTTGCTGCAAAGACTGTAACATATCATGGATGGAGATGCCATAACGCTGACAGGCGGTCATCTGAGCAATCACACCATCGCGAAGAGACATAAGATGGGCAAGGTCAGTAAGAGTTTTAGATTGTCGTATAGCAGCATCGAAGTGTTGCAAAGCGGCGTCGAACTGGCCGCGCTCAACAGCCAGCTGACCAGAGAGCTCATGAACCAGCTCGCATCTAGGATCCCGCTGCATCAGTAAAATGTCATATAGTGGCATAAGTAGTGTAAATGTGAGAACTTATGATAAGCAAATAAAGATAATTAGGCTATCAAAAACTAGTATTCAAGGAGAGCGTAGAATATTCATAGTTGACGAACTAAAGTCACCGTATATCGCTGATAGTTAAAGATTGATAATAAAATTTTCGAAAATCCAAAATAGTAGGCCTCCTGACTAACAAAAGGATTTCCAACATGAGATAGACTGCAGATAAGAGCTTGCTCTCTTCAGCAACTCCAAATGTGTTCAAAATTGAGGTCCATTTAGTATGAATAAACTATGGGAAGCAAGGCTAGATTAAAGTCGTGAGGTCTACTTATTTTATTATTGTAAAAGTAAAGCTATTAATCTTTGGTGATCTAAATATTGACTAAAAATATGAGCTCGGCATCGCGCTACTGTGGAAAGTCTCGGAAAACACAAATACTAGGATATTATTAATCTAAGCAGCGAAACCACAAAACTCAATTGCATAGATAATCGAACTAATAACAAGAAGCAAAATAAAAAGCGCAGATATTTTGTATTCGCATCAGAATCCCTTAGCTAATGACGATAGATCAAGAATTGTTTCGAGTTCACTTTATTGTTGCGAAAAATTGATTACTTCTAAGAGGCCTCTCCTACTGTTAATATAATCTTTCGGCTTGGTCTGTTTCTAATCATTTATCAGATAATCTGCACGGTTTATAGTATGTTGTTTGAAGCACTGAGGTAACTATTCACGATTGTAAATCAATAATGAATCCTTCACCTGTATTACCTTGCCTATGCATCCTAATTGTAGTCTCAGAGGATATTTTAAGATACAACAAAACCAGTGAGTCTCTGAGCTGATCCCGAAAACAAGTTAGAGGTAAGATTAAATCAACGAACAATGCTATTACATCCCATAAAGATATTAACTTGAGCCAATTAGCCAAAGAATGAGGTCGGTTGATGTTAAAAGAATGAATGTGTTAATCATAAAATCATAGTGAGATCTTGACAAATAAATGAACATGCATCAGGTTTACTTAAAACAAAGGAGTGATTTTAGGAAATGTGAACTAAATATTGATAAAAGTAGAAGGCAGATTGATACCTTTACTCCTTTGTTGAACCATTTCTCTGCCGCATCTCTGTCTTGTCTCCAGCGAAGCTGCAATAGACCTCGGTGCGCATAGGCCAAACCGGAATCAGGTGCAATTTCAATAACCTTAGCGAATTCCATATCTGCCTTCTCAAAATCTCCTCGCTCAGTGAGGAGCTAGTTTGAAGAGAGAAAATCATAGGGGGGAGACATTAACAAATAATTAAAGCTGGCAAATAATAGTATTCCTAGACGGTAGAACTACTAATTCAAGATTTGATAGAATGAAAACAAGCATTTAAAATATCTATAGTGCAGATGATACGTTATTTGTATCCAAATCCGAAACGCATGATCAGATAAATTGAGTCGCATGGTGGAGCTAAAAATAAAAGTCGAGAATCGATAATGGCATGCATCTTGTCATTACATTTGGATCAAAAATTGCAGAGTAAGATAATATGCTCTATTTCAAAGCCGTAGCCGTTGCCTATTGAGAGAAAACGAAAAATTAAGAGCTTGGAATGCCACAAACAGAAAAATAAGTATTCGACAATAAATGAACCCGTTTCCCAACCCTAAGGCTAAAATTTTAGCAATTACTTAGAAGGCTTATTAATATAAGTAATTGATCAATGGTGATTTCTCATCAAGAGTCAAGATCCCTGTGTAATACAAGATAATGTATTGATCTTTATTAAACATATATTTCAGGTAGCTAAAAAGGATGAACTGCGTTTGAACAAACTCAGCGACCTATCTCTATACTTTCCCATTACAATGGTCAGTCTATTTACATTTCGGACGTAGTCATGGCTAAACAAATTTTGACACTGAGCGTTACTTTATCTCACGTCGAAAAATCAGAGCTTGGCACCGCACCTTGACTACTTTTATAGCAAACTAGATGGCACACAAAATCACGAAAGGATATTTCAAGCAGCAAACATAATGGATGAACCGCCACGTTTTTCCCCAGATTTCACCGTTTCCGCCGAGATCCACTGTGTTTGGACTCGTCTATAATTCACTATCTATCTTCAGCCTTGTATTGTAATTCAGCTAGTTGTCAATAGTACTCTTGGTAAAACGACTTTCCTTCTATATTCGTCCAGGGAATCTAACGTTATATCGCGTATCCGAGAACAAGCGTTTGATATTTGAGAGGCGGCCTTGATTACGACACATTAAATAGCTATTAAAAGTACTAATAATATAATCAGCCAATAAATGAACGGCTTCTAACATGGCTTCATTTATTGGGAGGATAGCTAGAGATATTGCCTAGCGAACTAATATCATAAGTGACGATATTAAAGCACTATATTCTAACTGAATAATGTTGTAGAAGGCTGCGCAAAATTTCATCCAATAAAGTTTGTTTAGTCTTTTCAAAAATATGTATAAAGCCGTATATGCTTAAATAAAGATGCGCATAATAGAACGTAAATTGTAAAGATGTGGGTCCTATTTTTTCAAGTTAATGGAAGAAGTAAATGCAATTATCGCATTGGGGGACGAAGGCTCTACAAATAAATTCAGACATTAAATAATGCTCAAAAATCATTAATTATAAGAACGCATAACTATTGCTATTACAATGTAAACAGAGCCTATCGAACGGAAGGATGGCAGAGGAGCTAATACTTCTAGATATTGGAATTGCTAATAAAATAAGATAACAAAGATGTTTAATTATAACTAATTTTGCGAGCTCGATGTATATGGTTTTCTTGACCCGCACATATCACACCTGAGCGTAAAGCGAATGCGTCTCTTGACAGTTTGGGAAGCGTTCTATGAGCTTAGAGAATTGATTGATGGAGTCTTCTATGGCTGCCTCATCCTGATTTGCAATAGCGCGTCGATATACGGTGTAACAGCATTGTGACCTGGGGATTGAAAATTCGGGTCGTA